CTGGCTGGCTTGCCTACTCATATTTAGAAACCCCAGGAAGGCATAATTTTCTCATCTTTTCATGGGTACAGGAAGTCCTAGCCACATATGCTGTTTAGTCAACTTAATATCCACTAGAGTTGCCTAAGAAGAGGGGCCCTTAGCTGAGGAATTGCCACCTTGTGAGTGACTAGTGGGCATACTTATGGGAATATTTTCTTGAGGAATGATTGAAGTGGGAGGGACCAGCCCACTGTGGATGGTGCTACTCGGGGGCAGATGGTCCTGGGTGTTATGAGAAAGCAGGCTGAGCTGGTCTCCTCATGGGACTCTTAACAGTGAGAGCAGGGGCTGTCCCTAATGCTTTGGGAACCTATTGAGTCCTCACACTGGATTGCCTTGCCTAGCCTTAATACAAGGGGAGGAACTTAGCCTTACTGAAATTTGATATGCCATGCTTTGTTGATACCCACTGGAGGCCTGCACCTTTCTAAACAGAAACAGAGGAGGAGGGGACCTAGGGGGAGATGCAATGGGAGGAGAGGGGGAAGGGGAAATAGGGAATGAGGCCAGGATGTAAAATAAATAATTAAATTAAATTAAAAGGAAAGAAGGAAGGAAAAAAGAAGAAGAAGAAGAAGAAGAAGAAGAAGAAGAAGAAGAAAGAGAGAGAGAGAGAGAGAGAGAGAGAGAGAGAGAGAGAGAGTGACAGAAAGAAAGACAGACAGACAGACAGAGACAGAACTGAGTAAACCATGAAGAACAAGCCAGTAAGCTGTATTCCTTCCTGGTTTTGCCTCTAGGTTCCTGTTTGAGCTCCTGCCATGACATCCCTCAGTAATGGACTGTGAAGTGAAGAATTAATCTAAAATTAATTCTTCAAAATTTTAAAATGAGTTGATCAGATATGCAATTTTTGTTGTGAACTCCTACAGCTTGGGCTAGGCAGGAGGGGAGACAGACTTGTTTTCTTCTTTTGAATCACACCCACCCCCAGGGCTGGAGGACAGAATAAAGGAGAGGCCAGAGAGAAGGCAGGCAGAAGCCATTCTAGGAGATGGAAGACTGGAGAGAAGGAAGAGGGGAAGAAAAGAGGAGGAAAAGGAGGAAGATGAAGAATGAAAGTATGGGAATCACTAGTGATGGATGCCCCCAGAGTCCTCCACCTCTGTCCTCCGACCTCCTGAATCTGCAGGTGTCCCAATCCATTCAGAGAGCCAGGAACAAAGCACAAGCATTCTCTAGAAAGACTCCTATGACTACCCAATTTCAAACAGTCTTCTCTGTATCATCATCCAGTTTTTGTTGGACAAGGGCCTGTCTCTCTATAACTCCATTATCCTGTTGTCTGGCATCCTGGTGTCCTGATTCCTGTGTGAAGCCAGGAAACCCACTGTTACTATAAGCCTTACTCATGTGGGGACAGATGCCTGAAGGGCCTGGAGGAAGCTTCCTATGCTATCAGATATTGCACTGAGAGGTCACAGAAGTCCTGGTGGCAGGCATGGGCTCCTTAGTTAGACTGCTCAGGTTCAATGTATGGCTGTCTTTACCAAGAGAGTGACCTTGAGCCAACAAATTGCTTCCTTCCTTGGTTTTCTAGTCTCTAGAGTGTAGATGGCAATAGCATTTGCCGGAGAGTCAGCAGGTTAAATGGACAGGCTGACACAGGTAACGAGAGAGCACAATGCTGGGCAGCCAGCATGTGCTGGGATGAGCATGGGCTGAGGTTGTCTTACTGTCTATGGCTGGCAGAGTCACAGAATTACTTGCAGAGTCACAGAATTACTTGATTTTACACCTTTGCCTCTCAGAGATGGAGTCAACCCACAGATAAGACGCTGCTGGGATAAGAAGCTTAGGCCAACACCTCACTTATTTAAATATGAAGTAATAACCAAGAGGCTGCAGAGAGATTTGCCACTGTGGCGGTGTGAGGAGGAAGAGGGCAACTACAAAGTAGAGCTGGACTCAACCCTCTCCCCCGCCCCCGCCATGTCACTGAGCCAATATGTCAACACACCTCACCTCCCCATGTTTAGTTTAGTTTCTTACTTATTTCAGTAGTTACTGAATTTAAATTTTTGACATGATCTGGTTAACCAGAGGAATCCATTTTAATATAATGTGGCCAGAGTTAAGTAGTCATCATTAAGCTATTATCTACATATAACTATTCATACACATTAGATGGACTTCTTATTCACCCGTGGATACAGTGGAAAAAAAATTCTTAGGCTAACATTCATCCTTTCTTATTTTGGAGACGAGAGGAACCCTGACATAAGCCGGCAAAGTGCTCAGCCACTGCAAGCAGCTTTCCTGTGCCTATACCACAGGCATCTAGAAAGTCCCCTGAATCAGGGCAGCACTAGGTAGCATAAAAGCTTCTCCCACTGAGAGTCTGGAGCTGAAGTGGACAATGAATTGTGGGTTTTTTTTCAACCATGTAGACTTTTTTTTTTCCTTGATATTTTGAATCCTCAAGGCATTCTGCTGGTACCCATTTACAAAGCAAAAGAAATGCCATAGTCACTGGGTAACTAGCATTAGTCTTGCTAGAAGCCCACAGGAAGAGGGGAGACTCTAACAAGCAAAATAATGCTGTTAAAATCACAAAGCAGATCATACTGTTTGGTGGTTAAAGATGCCATGATGGTTTTCAATATGGCTGCTGAAAGAAGGCTGGAGATTTGTCCTGTGTGTACATGTCCCATGAACACTTATGTTGGTATATATGGCCAAGCCTCTAACGGTGTCTGTCCTTCATACTGGAGCACCTCTTTCCTTCTTCATGCCTCTCACACTTGTCCAGCTAGCTCCAAGTAATGTTCTTCCTGCAGACCTTGTCATGCTATGTATGTTCTTACCTTGTGGGGCCAACCAAATTTATCTGCCCAGGTGTCCGCATGGCTAGTTCTCATCCTGTCAAGTCTTGCTTGGCTCTTGTTTTCCCAGCAAGACCCCGTGTAGCTACCCTATCACCCCACAACACTAGCTCTGGCTAGCTCCGTTCCTCCCTGCCTAACACTGATTACTCTTTGACCTCCTGTGTTGATTTTCTCATTGTTCATCACTCCATATTCCCTCCCCACTAGAGATCGAGTTCCAGGAAGGCAGAGAGCTTTGCCTGTTGTGTTCACAGATGCGTTTCCACCTGGAAGGTGCCTATTAATGAGTGAATACCTTGCTGAAGCACTAGGATGGCAACCTCAGATGAGACTGTCGGCCTGGGAAATGAATGGCCTCCCTTTGTGGAACCTCTTTCCCTACCCAGGTCACACCCTGCATCTCTTTCTTACTGGTGGGACACCTCCCTCCTTTGTCCCACAAGTGGTCTGATGACTTCTCTCAGGCTGAAGTAAGTGCAAAGCCCACAGTCACCTGGTGTTACAGATCTAGGGTTCTGTCTGACCAGAGATCTTCACACATTGTCCAGGAAGAGGCTTTGGAGCCCTGCTTTCTCACTCTTGCAGTAACTGTTAGCCACCACTGCTCCCTGTAGCAGCAGGGCACCCGGGCCTTCAAAGCTGGGGCCTTGTATGAATCATTTGGCAGCACAGCCGATGGGATGGGACGACAGAACCTCTCATAGAGGTGGGCTGAGGATCTGGCCCCTGGAGTCCCCCAGGCCTGTCAGGTCCTTTCCTACAAGAGGGTTAGGGTAAAGGTCAACTGACAGACGTGCTCACTGGGCTTCACCCAGTGAGAGAGAAGAGGAAACCAGAGGTGAAACTCAAAGAGCAGAAGAATACTTCTAGCACTCTCTCTACCCCACAGTCTCCATCGCCACGCCTGCTAATACATGAGACAAAAAAAAAAAAAAAAAAGATTCACAGAGAAAATAAAAGGGGAAAGGTAGTTCTAAAAAAGGGAACCCCCCCTTTTTTTTCTGTTTGCCCACCGGCTCCTGTATGAATGATATGAATGATGTCATTTCCCAAGACCTACGCTTGCAATAGCCCATAATTACTTAATCATTCCTGCTCTGCCATTTCTTCTCCACTTTAAGTGCCAGATAAACATGTTGTTCATTAAGGAGATAGCTTAAGTTCATAGGAAAACCAAAAGAATTCTAACGTTTCTTACCAGGAGTAATTCCTGTCTTCATGATTTATGTAACATGAGGGAGAAAAAAAAAATCCACAAGAGAAGAAAATGCTGTCCTTCCCAAAGACCAGTTTAGAAACTTAGGACTTCACCACTGAGCTTTCTTTTTGCACTCTGAATCATTGTGGGGGACACGCCAGCAATGCTAACCAGCATGTGGCCTGATGCTAAGCCTGGGTGCACCCTGAACCCTTCTGAGTGAAGAGCACTTCTGATCAGGGTGGAAACTCTGTCTGTGCTGAGACTGCAATGGGGGTTTACTTTGTGTGCTGTAGTCAGAACAGGAACTGCTGAATTGGGGCATACATGAGGTAGGGACAGGTCAAGGTGTAGAGAGAGCAAGAGCAAGTGTAATACACAGGAAGAGACAAAGTTAAGAAGTCCAGTGAAGTGACAGTTAGCACCTAGAAAGAGGGCATGTTTACAGGAATGGAGACAGCACAACTCACGGATACATGGGAGATGCAGAAACAGGCAGTCAGGGGTGGCCAGGCCACAGGGTTTTAACTGCAAATGCCAGATCCTCTCATGCATGCCATAAAACTGCCTTAAATCCAAGCATGACAGTAAGATCAAGGACCTCCCCTAACTTTACTAAGAAACTACTGACAGAAGGGGAAAAGTTATGAGAACCAACTGATCCATTGAGTCTGATCCTACATCTTAAAGTTAGGGCGTGATTTGGAGATTTCAGCTAAAAAGTCACTTGATGTAAAAAAACAAACAACAACAACAACAAACAACAAAACTATCACTAATAATAAAATAAAGAGATATTGGCTATAAAGTAAAAATATAGAAAGCATACTCAGACAAAACCACAAAGAACAAACAAACTTTTGTATTAAAGTGGCAGGTAAGGGGAACAGACAAGCAAAACAACAGAAGTTTCTAATCACTGTGGTACCTACCTTGAAGAGAGGCCTGGAGATCTTTCATGTTTTGGTCTAAAAGTTGTGAAGGAAGGAATCCAGAGCCTAGCTGGGGCTTGGGGTCTGGCTCTCCCTGGGCCCCTACGGGTGCTGGCTCCTTTAGTCGGTCATCTCCAAACACGGCAGCCCACTCTCGGCTGAACTCTCCTTCATCCAGGCAGGAAGCACTGAAGATCTCATTCAACAGCAGCAGGTCATCCTTGTCACCACCTTCTGGTTCTGGGGTCCCTGCTATGGGACCCAGGCAAGCTGGTGGAGGCAAAAGAATACAACAGAACATATGATTTCCAAGAGCTGGGGCTTTACGAACAACCGTCATGGCGGCTAGACTGGGACAAGCTGAACTATGGCCAGACATAAGAAAAGGTAATCAGAATAGAAATGTAACCCATGGCACTTCATTAACAGATTTCAGAAATAAATTTGGAACCCTATCTTCCCTTGTGCCCCTTCTTCCAAATGAAATATTTTACACACACACACACACACACACACACACACACACACAAAAAAAAAAAATATCTAGGGCTTGTGTTTTCCCTTAACATAAAAGCAGATCTGGCAAAACATTCCCCAGGTCTGAAACAAAGCCAGGACTGGAAGCTGTTGGTGATCTTAGCTCCTTGTTTGTAAGGCTTCCTAAATCTTCCCACACAAAACCTCAATCCACGATGCCTGGGCTGGAGCCTCAAGCAAACCATGTGGCAGCCTGTCTTGCCACCCAAGCTGGGGGAGAAGGCTCACCACGCCCTGGCCCAGGGGAGCATGTCAGGAGGTACATCAACACCCAAGACAGATGTCTCTGCAATAACAGCAAAGGGAAGGTGGATCGGGCTTGCCTCAGAGGAGCAATCAGAGAGTGACAGGGAGGGAGGTCCGAAGTCTGGTCTGAGACAGAGGGTTCAGATTCACTTCGTGGGCCTTAGACATAAGCACCGACAGGTGTCAATGAGCCCTAGTCCTGAGAGGAGTCTAGGTCCAACCCACCTTCAGCAGACCGTCACCTTCTGAGGCTCCAATGAGTCATCCCTGACATTACAGTAGGCATGAAAGCCTGCTTAGAATGCCAGGAACCTGGGACTACTACACCAAAGTCATCAGTCCAGATGGTTGTAAAGAGAGAACCATTCTCCTAGATGAACACTGACCATCATTTACAAGGAAAACAGGGACTTGGCTCTCATAAATCTCATGGAAAGCACCTATTTTAAGAACCAAGGACTGAGGGATGTATTAAGTGTTGCTTTGTTTGTGGGATCCAATTGCCACTTGCAAACTGAAAACATTTTTATTATAAGCCATGAAGCAAAGAAAAACATCATGGTTCCCATGGTTTTCTGAGCAACACTGAAATTCTGATGACCATGACAAATGAGATTATCAGGTTTTCTGCAGATTTATCCACATATATGGTGATTAGTAGTTAAGGATATTGTTTTAAAGTAAAGCTTCTTCCTGTTCTTTTGCTGGATCTGTTTTCACCCACATTACATACAGATCTAGAGATTAAGGGGATTTTTTTTTTTTTTAATGAACTCAGCAGATTGGCTATAAATCAGGGAGGGGAAAGTCTAGTAACTCATATCACTGTGGTTTTAAAATAGTGGCAAAACATCATTTTAATCAGACAAGTGCCTAATTTAAGCATTTTTATTGTTTATGTTATCAAAGACATACATTTCCAGGCAGACATAACCTGTAGGCACAGTAGGTGAAAAAGACAGCAACTTGGTCCTGTGAAGAGGCTTCGCTGAGGAGCAGGAGCCACCAGGCTGGGCAGGTGGGTAAGGCAGGCAGAGGGTGTATTACAGTGGCTCTCCAGCACCCTGTCATACAGGAAGAAGCTTGAAGAAAGGCACCCGCAATGGCAATGTATCAGCTGTGGCCCTCAACAGGGGTGTTTACTCACGAATTTTCTCTTTCAGTCTCTCCCAGACTCATCCTCTTAACCTGTGGTTACTTTACAAGTCTCTGTACTTGCCATTTTCTGGTGACATTGGAGTACCCAAACCATTTCTCCTGGTTTCTTTCTGGCCTGGTTGAAACGTATGATTATTGAGCCAGGCCCATGTTAAGTGACACCTATTCAGTGGGACCTTAAGTGGGAATCTTTTAGCAAGATCTGTTCCTTCAACAGTCATTTCATTTTGATCTCTTCAGAAGCCAGGCTTGGAGAGGTGTTGCCGTGGTGAATGGGATCCCACAAAGGTCACAGTGGACAGCAGACCAACAGGAGTCCTCTACACATAAGCCAATTATAAAACTTCCATTTCATGTTTAGTGCTCAGGCTTCATGTCTTGGTATTGATGTTAGTGGCTTCTGCCACCTGGCACCTCTTCCCTTTCCTTCAGGTGTGTTTTCTTGAGAAGCACTTTCCCTCTGTGGTCCTGGTGAGATGCCCTTAGTAGAACCCATCACCTGCCACTCCAGGTGTGTGTGTGTGGCTGAGCAGGTTGAAGATCTCCCTCTCTCAGGCCACAGTGACTGACCAGGGGATGACACATGCCAGAGGCTTCCCTGTATTTGCTCTATGAAAAGTGGATGGAAAAAGACCCATCTTTCTTTGGGGTTCTCTGATCCAAAGATGTAAATCAGAGGCTGTTAGTGAAAACAAAGCCAATATCCTGAGGAAAACAAACTAAAGAGCCAGAAAGGGAATTTTGACAGCACTCAGCCAGTCCCTGATCTCGAATGAGTGCATTTTAAACCTAACCCTTTTCAACATAGACTTCTTTCCTTCTAACTAAGTGAATCTGGCAAACTCAGGCATTTCAGTCACAGAACTGAGAAAATGTCCTCTGCAGTCAGCTTTGAATTCAGGTTTTGCCTCTACTGAAGTTCACCACTGAATGTGGTCTATTATTTAGCATTCTGCTTATTTATTTTTCTTAACATTTATTATTAAAAAGTTGTGAAGAAAAAAAGTTGCAAATAAAAATGTCATCAAACCCTGGCTATTAAATAGTTAAAAAGCAGGGGGGGACAGTGAACTGTGCTCTTGTAAGAGAACTTATTATGTAGCTAAAAGCAAGGAAACTGGCACTGACTTGAACCATAAAACACAGAAACCTCCTGATTATTACACTGATAATTAAGATGCCTGAAATTACTATGCATAACTTGTCAGAGAAACTTAATTACAAATCCAAATGGACAGGTTTAGGTCCGCAATCAGACAAGTCGGAACTTGAGAAGTTAAGCTTGTCAGTAGGCCCCGAGAACTGAGCTCCTCTTATCTTCTTTGAAAACAGTGCCACTCAACCAGAGACAAAGAAAACATGTGGAGATACCATAATGTCCTTGGGAGAAGCCTGGGCAGAACGTCCCCCACACGCAGACCAACAAAGACAGCTACTGCGTTGTGGGCCACAACTTCCTTTGGCTCAGAGTCTCCAAATGCCTGTCTCCAATCCAAGTTCTCCAACTCCTGACCACAAATTCTTATCTTATCCTTTGTGGTTGCACACTGGTGAGGAGGCTGCAGCTCCAGGAGATGGCCTCCTACCCTGCACCTTTGCAGACAAAGAGATCCTAGAAACTATTTCCTTGAACTCATTTTAAAGATGAGGAAAAATAGACCCAGGTTTAGATTACCCATCCAAATTCATGTGATTTATTAGTTACAGACAATCTGGCCTGGGACCCTTGACTCACAAGTCAGTGTTTTCTCTGTGGAAGACAATTGCCTTTCCTTCAGAACTTAGGAAGAATTTTGTTTTCTGTATGGTGATAGAGAATTGATTGAGATCTCACACACAAACTAATAAAAGAAGGCTTTGTGAACATGTGAGGTTTTCTATGGGTAGAATACTCTTCAACATAGAGGCAAAATGGCAAAGGAAAACCAAAGCATTCTATATGCCTGCTTTGCTCAACACTCAGAAATAAGCAGCCTGGGGCCTGGGAAACATTCCCTAGAAGAACTAGTCCTGAACCGGTGAGTTCTAGCTTGTAAAAGCTCAAATGTAGAGGAAACTCGAGTTTAGGCAGGGCGTGGAGAACTGGCCACAGCTGGTTCAGATAGCACTTTTGAAGTCATACTGGAGTTTCATGACCTCAGCATAAATTACAGGCACAGAAGATGGAAATAACTACACAGACAGAAAACCGAGAGCACAGGACAACAAATAGAGAAAGGTCACTCCATTTACCTTCACCTGTGTGAAACAGGAAGACTGACTGCTCTGGGTTTCTCCCTGTTCCCCACGCCCCACAATGACTAATCTTAAAGGCCACAGGCCTGCAGTGCCTCTGAAACCCCAAATACCAACACTACCCTCTGATCACCCAAAGGACGGCGGGGGAGGAGGGCAGAAAACCACCTGACACAGCATCTAAATAGAAAAACACTTCTTCAGGCTCTGCTAACAGATTGTTCTTGTTTGGAATTCTCCCTTGTTTGAAAAACTCCCTTCAGGTTTAAAAATAATAAAATAAAAATCCCAACCCACAGGGATGGGGGTTGGGGTGGGGGTGGGGGTAAGGAGCCATATGTGCTTTCTGAAAAAACAAAGAATAATCCAAGAATGTCAGACCTGAGTTGGCATACACAGAAATAACTGATTGCTGGAGCCCTACCCTAAACTCTAGTATTAGAGTTTAGCAACCAACCTCTCTCACAGCAGGTCTGGACCAAGTCTTTCAGAATCTCTATAGGAATAATTCCATATACAGCACACCACTACACGATTCCGAACATGTATTACGTATTTGGTTTTGTTAAGCAGAGTTTCATGTGGACTGCTGCTGGCCTCAAACTTGTTATACAGCCAAGGTTGGCTTTCAACTCCTGAACTTTAATTCTCTACCTCTAGAGTATTGGGATTACAGGTTTGCTAAGACACTCCTCTTTCAGTATTTTATTTTGAAAGTGTATTATTGTTGGGCTGGGGCGTGGTTCAGTAGTAGAACGCTTGTCTAACATGTGTAAAGAAAAAGTGTATGATTATTTCATGGGGTGGCCCAGGTCACCGGCATTTTACAGAATGCTGAGAGGGAGGAGTTTACGAGAACAGATAGGGAATTTAGCACTTGGTCATTGTATGTCCTGAGGCAAAGCAATCAAATCTCTCATTTGACTCTAAGGATGACTTATAGTCAGGTGACAGTTCAGTGACTCAGGACAAGCTAGGCACCATAGGATAACACATGATTGTTATGGGCTAAAAGTTCTCACCTAGACCTCTGCTAGCTGCTGAATGGCCTGTCATCTTCATAACTGGCCAGAATTTAGAAACACAGGCAGTAACAGAGGAAGTAAAGAAGACAAGCACGTGTTTGTAATAAGGACAATAGTTTTGTGTTTTTGGTAAAGGCCTCATGATAAGATTCAGGGAAGCTGAACTCATCAAATTCTCCTCGGCTTCCCACTGCATCTTTTTGTTCAGTAGTATACTGTTTGAGGGGAGGGTCCAACTTGAGGCACAAGGATTTCTACACGCTATAATTCCATGAATGAAGGCCACATGCCATGCGTGGTATATGGTGACTTTCAAGAATCTCAGAATGTCACTCGTGTTTCTTACTAAAATATTTTTATACTGTGTGGTCACACATTGGTTTTCTATTACTTTATCATTTAGCAGAAGAATGCAAGAGCTGGGCTAGAGCTCCCAAGTCTTATAAAATGAGCCATCCTTGGATTAAGTGCCTTTTATTTTTTCACACCTAATGTTTTGCATATTATAATTAGCACTTTAATTCAGAACTTTGCAGGCAGTTTTGAAATGACATGCATTTTGAAGTGAACAGAGCATCGGACATTCTTTTTCTTCAGTCACCACAAGTTCTCCGTGGTTTGAGAGCCTCTGTATACTTGTGGTTTTAGAGCTGATACCACCTCGTGGGATGAAAACATGGAAGAGACAGACAGTGGAGAGCATCGCTCAGGCCCACCAAAGTGCTCTGTCGGACAGCAGTGACAAAGGGACAGGGTGACTTATGTGCCATTGCATTTGATTGGGAAGATGTTCACCTCCATCTTTCTGACAGAGAACCAGTACTTGTATTAGGGAAGAGTATGCCCAGCTTTATCTGTAGACCTAGACAACAGGGCATGAAACTTGCTTTCAATAAGTAGACATCAATCTTCATCCAATGGGCCCCGGCGTACACAGGAGCCTGCGAAAGCCGGCAGACACAGAAGGACAGCAGGTGGTGGCATTCATTCTTGCTTCAGTTCTCTGAAGAAATGCTGGCTTTGGGGCTAGGGTTGTAGCAGTCTATCAAATTAAAAAAAAAAAAAAACTTTCTATAAAGCCCCACATCTTTTTTTACCCCTTATAAAGGGAGGAGAAGCAAGCACATGGACTCCCATTTTCTGTGCCTGAGCACAAAAGTTTCAGGAGGATGGGGCCAAGGAGGGGCACTTTGTTGTCACAATGGAGTGTGAAGCCATGTATAGAAACAGGTGAGTTCTTAAAATATAATATCCTATTATTTTATATACTAGTGCAAATATACTACCTATTCAAAAATCAAGTCTACTAAAATAATAAACTTAAGAGTGGTAAACAAAGAGAAAACATAAACAAGATGCGGGGGTTGGAAGGAATATCAATCCATAAAACATGGAAACAAGGAGGACCCTAAGAGAGACGTACATGGTCCCCAGGACAACGGGAAAGAGACAAGATCTCCTGAGCAAATTGGGAGCATGGGGGGAGGGGAAAGGGAGCTAGGAGAATGAGAAGGGGAGAAGAGGAGGGGAGAGGAGGACATGAGGGAGCAGGAAGGTTGAGTCAGGGGAAGAATAGAGGAGAGCAAGAACAGAGATACCTTAATAGAGGGAGCCATTATAGGTCTAACGAGAAATCTGGCACTAGGGAAATATCAAGAGATCTACAAGGATGACTCCAACTAACAATCTAAGCAATAGTGGAGAGACTACCTTAAAAGACCTTCTCCAATAATGAGATTGATGACTACCCTATATGCCATCCTAGAGCCTTCATCCAGTCGCTGATGGAAGAAGAAGCAGACACCTACAGCTAAACACTGAGCTGAACTCCTGGAGTCCAGTTGCAGAGAGGGAAGAGTGATAAGCAAAGTCAAGACCATGCTGGAGAAACCCACAGAGACAGCTGACCTGAACAAGGGGGAGCTCATGGACCCCAGACTGACAGCTGGGAAACCAGCATAGGACCGACCCAGACTTCCTGAACATGGGTGTCAGTTAGGAGGCCTGGGCAATCAATGGGGCCTCTGGTAGTGGATCAGTATTTAACCCCAGTGTACAAATGGACTTTGGGATCCCATTTCACATAGAGGGATACTCTCTCAGCCTAGACACATGGGGGAGGGCCTAGGCTCTGCTCCAAATGATATGCCAGACTTTTAAGATCCCCATGGAAGACCTCACCCTCCCTGGGGAGCAGAAAGGGGAATGGAAACAAGCGACTGGATGAATTGGGGGACTGGTGGGGAGACAGGAGAGGAGGGGAAGGAGAGGGAACTGGGATTGACATATAAAACAAGCTTGTTTCTAATTTAAATAAAAAATAGGATGGAGTATGCATATGATTATGAAAACACTAAAGGTTAAGCATTGTTGAAACTGGGTGGTAGATACTTAGGGCTTGTTATACTATTCTCATGTCATTTTGGTAAGATTAAACTATTTCAGTACTCCAAAATAATTTATAAAGGATATTTTTTATTCCATTAAAATTCTTATTCTTAAACCGGAGGGGAAAAGTCCTTACAAAAAATGAGGGCAATGTACGGCAACACACACTAGCTCCTTACTCATTCATTTCATTACTTGGTATGGTTTTTGTAAGTGATAGTTTATTTGCAATCTAACAAATAAAGCTTGCCTGAAGATCAGAGGGTCAGAGGGCAGAGCTAAGCCACTAGTTGCCACACACACACACACACACACACCAAAAAAAAAAAAAAAAAAAAGCCACTAGTTAGCCATAGAGGTCAGGCAGTGATAGCCACACCTTTAATCCCAGAACTTGGGAGACAGAGGGCACCTTGGGCTTCACGAGATTGAATCAGTCTAAAAGAGAAACATCTCACACCTTTAATCCCAGCACTAGAGAGAATATTAGGCAGGAACTCAGTGCAGTACAGCCTGAGGTTTGGTGGAGAACACTGCAATCTGCAGACACTCTGAGGATGGGAGCACCCCACTTTGCTCTGTGCCTTGGTAGAGGTAAAAACTCCCCAGTGGCTTTGCTCTTCTGATCTTCCCCTTGAATCCCAATATCTGTCTCCGGGCTTTTATTATTCATGCTACAGGTTTCTGGTTTATTAATCTGACATGATTTTGATGAAATATTGTATAGCATGATGCCTTCAGAAAGACATTAATTAGGCAAGGAGACTCCCACCTTTGGGTTTATATTCCCAAGCCCTGGGAAGTTCATGGCCAAACTGTGATGACTGTATCGTTACAAGATTATTTTTCTCTAATACTCTGTGGATTCAGCCCACATCTTGATGTTTGGGTTTGTTTGTTTTGTTTGTTGTTGTTTTTTTGAGACAGAATTTCTCTGTGTAACTTCAGAGCCTGTCTTAGAACTCTGTTCTGTAGACCAGGCTGGCCTCAAATTCACAGAGATCTGCCTGCCTCTGCCTCCCGAGTGCTGGGTGTGCTGGGATTAAAGGCATGAGCGCCGCCACCACCACCACCCGGCTTGATGTTGAGTTTTCACGTGACTAGACTGAGAGCCACTTACAAGACAATTAAGTACACCTCTAGGGGTATTTGTGTTTCAGAGGAAACTAGACCATGTGGGCTCTGCCTAATCAAGTTGACTCACTGATAGACTCACATTTTAAGTAGACAATTGGGAGGTGGTAGAACCATGGAAGGACTGAGTTGGAGAGAATGGCTAGCTGGGGGCGTGTTTTGGTGCTGTTTCCTTCCTGTTACTCTGCTTTCGGGCCTCTATGAGTGAGCCCCCTTTTTTCCATCCTGCCCTTCCTCGGTGATGTTTCTGCCTTGCCACAGAGTTAAAAAGCCAGCAGACCATGGACTGGAACGATGAGCCAAAGTAAACCTTTCCTCCTCTAAAATGTTTCTCTCAAACATCTGTCACAACAACGCACAGCGTAACAGGTCAAGCTCAGACTGAGTTGAATCATACCCTGGTTCATTGAGGTCCACAGGGTGGCCTGGGTCAGTTTCTGTGCTGTAAGAAACCTGTATAATTGGGGCAGAATGCCACTGTCCAGGTCAAGGGATAGTCTGATGTTTGGCTCAGAGTCTCGGGAGCATTTTGGACTCTTAGTAAATCATTAAAAGGAAACCTTTGTTTGGATGAAAAGCAAAGGCTAGGATTATGCTAAAACTGCTCGGTTTTCTTAGGTCACTCAGTACTGTAAGTATCCTCTGAATTCAAGGTCTTGGACTCTCTTTTGGGTGGCTATTTAGTAGTCAGCACAAGATGTCTAAGTCTGGTGGACTTGGTTTATTAAGTTTCAACGAACATATGGTGTAGTATACCATGTAGAGAACATTCCTAATTCCTCCTTTCTCAAGAGTATCCCTGCATTAGAAACCACAAAATAGCCTTTTCATACTTGAGTTCCATTCCTGACAGTTACCTGGAGAGACTGCTGTGTTTGGTTCCATTTTACAGACAAGAACAACTGAGGCTTACAGAGTTGTATAGGAAGCAAATTCATCAAGGTCATTGATGGGAGGATCAAAATTCAATATCCACATGTATCTCATTTGGAAATTACTTTTTCTATTACAACATAGTACCTTTGTTATAATTTTCAGCTTTAAAAGCATTGTCTAATTAAACAAAAATACCATACATATTATATATTGCTTGAGCATAGGTAAGGTGATTTATAATGGCTGTCACCTAAAATTTTTTGTTTATGACTATAAAGCTATTACGAAGGTAACTATTGAATTTTCTTGCATCCAAAAAGAGAGAACTTAAAAACTTAATGGAATTATAGAGTTCAACTAATATGCAAATCTTACCTTCTTTAGGTTTCATGTCTAATAGTTCACCTATTGGTCCTTAAGAGAGAAGAAACAAAGTAAATTATCAGTTAATTCCATTTCCTTTGGTATTTGAGTAAATTATTAAGACTGGGAAGTCTGTCTTTAGATTACCTGAGCATGCATCAGTTGCAGAGCTTTTGTCTACAGAAGGCAAGATACTTTTACCATCTTCAGCTGAAATACAACATATGTAGTTGGTTATGACCAGCCCACAGCGGTACATTTTTATATACTGTGTGTGAGGTAAAGTACACTGTCAGAAAGAATAAACAATCTAGACTCTGATGCAAAGCAGTGGTCCTCAGTTTACCTTTTACTTCAGCTGTAGGCTCTCAGTGAATTTAAATTTGGAATTGTAACTTAATTATTTAAATTTAAATGCCAAATTTCCAATGAATCTCTTGTTGGATAGATAACCCACACAATATTCTACTCTACTGATCTATTTCCCACCTATGGAAAAATTAATGACTGAAGTCATTGACTATTACTTGGTATCACCAACAAATTTTAACCAAATAGGCCTGGCTAAAATAGAAAATGGAATACTGAATTCTCAGTAATTAGAGAATGCAACCCTGTATTCTCTAATTCTGAGGAAAGCTGCAGAGACAGTAAAAAGCCAGTGGATACTGAGGGTATGTTTGGTGGGTAAGGAGGTGAGCAGGTGGTGACAGAGGCATGGAAGCAGCTAATATTTTATATGACACTTTAATGGAGGAAACAGGTCATTTCATATTTATAATGCCCATAGAATATAGAACACTACAAGTAAACATTATATCAACTGTGGTCTTTGGGTGACAAGGGTGTTTCTATTTAGGCTCATTGGTTATACAAACACTGCAAGGGTATAGGATGTTGAGAGTGAAAAGTAGCGTACTTGGGGGCAAAGGTACATGGGAAACCTCTGTGCCTTGAACTCAGTTATGCTGTGAAATAACTGTGCCTCACAACAAGCAATAAAGCATGGGTATACATGCATGTGCACACACGTGATAGGACAGCCTCAACTCAGTTTCCTCATATGTTCACCAGACCTTCTATAAGGTTCCAGAATAAAGGACAGACGCCACTTCATTATAGTGGATTCACAATCTCAAAATATTGTGCAGATATCACACCCAATTAAATTATATAAGGAAAGAGAAAACTGGCATTTTCTTTTCTATAGTCACACACTGTAAAAATCTATATAAGTTATATAGGTTGAAGCTTTTATATGAATATAATAAATCAGAGTTCACACTTTTCTGAAGAACTAAGTATGTTCTACTCTGTGACCTTGATCCCCATGCAACATTGATGGTTCATGCCATAGGTCCACAGAGGGGCACTGAGGCTGGCATTCTAGATCAATCCAGACAGCTCTTCCAGGGTGACAAAGTCAGGCTTAGCCTCTCCCCTACTAACTTTCCCACAGACTCCAGAATGTTGCTTTTCTGCTGTCACTTGGTTCATCCTGGCTCATTCCTTCGTGCTGGTTCTATCTTTTCCTGTGACAAGTCTTACTAATAGCAAATGGCCTGAGCTTGTCCCCCTGGTTCCCTCAGTTAAGTGAGGCCTCTGTAACACACACCCAGAACACGGCCCTTCTCCTAGGTAGCTCTCACCAACTTTGCTACAGTTGGAGATGGGAGCAGTTGCTCCCATCTGCTTCTCCTGTTGACTGCGAGCCTCATTCCAGGAAGGTCTGGCTGTGTGTGGTGGGGAATGCTTGCTGGTGCAGCTCCGTGCTACGGAAGCGTTGCTATTTAACACCTCTGAAGTGAAAAACATCAGAAGATGACCTTTAATTTCTCTCCAATGCTCTTGCCCCTGCCTCCCAAGCATGGATGGATTCTAGAGGCATGTACTACTACACCTACCCGGTTTTTGTTTTTTTTTTTTTTAATTTCCTATTTTCTACTGAAAGGCAGATTGAAAATAGAAAAGGAAGGAGTAAAGTGGGGGGAGGGTGTGGCAAATGGTTGGAAAAGTAGGAAGGAAGAGCCAGGGTGAAGAAGAATGAAGCAGAAGGAAAGATCTAGGACTTGCTTCACTCATCTCCTTTCCTGAGCAGGCTTCCCTAGCCTCACCCCAGGCAGGGAATTAGATGCGAGTGTGTCCTCAGGAGGGCCTGTGACTTTGGTTATGGGCATAACATCTTTAGTGACCTATATAATGTAAACCACCTTTCTGTCTATGAAGATTTTAACTCCTGGTGAAGGGTTCAGCATTGTGACATATTGGTTTTACCATAATTTCCCATACCCTGTACCTTTCTGGTCAGGAGCCAACAGAAAATATGGCAGCAGTGCAGGAGCTAGAGACAGCAGAATGCCATATCAGAGTGCCACCTCCCAAGGTGCAGAGCCCCCTTCCTCAGGTAGGCTTCAGTTTACCTTCAGAGAGCTGGCACCACTCCTTAATATGGTCCTTGGATTCACTTGGGAGGGCAAAGTCTGAGCTCTCCTGTCTCCAGCAATGAGAAAAGCCCACAAATCACCACTGACCACTCCCAGGGTTTGATATCAAGATTGCACTAAGACTTGGAACTAGGGCTACTCAGAGCAGTTTGGGAATACGAGGGTGCTGACATCACGCAAGATGGCAGAATCTGGTTCAAACTACATGAAGTCTCTTGGTACTGCTAAAGGGCTGATATCACTGACATCTAGATTACAGGAAGCAAATTAATAGTCTTTTCTTAAGATGGAAAAGAAAGCAGCTCAGAGGTAATTTACCAAAAAGAGAAACAAGTTGGTGATTGTGCATTACAGCAGGGTCTCCGAATCAACTTAAATGGAAGTGAAAACTTACCCTTACAAGTGGAGGATTCTTTGTGCTGGTTCTCGTCCTCCAAAGAAATTAATCTTGAAATAAAAAGAAAGCTGGAGTTACACAGTTCTGCAAATTCATGTTTATGGGATAGCTGTGTTCTTCGGAGCAACATCTATTCCTTCACTTGCAACAACCCTCCCCTCCACACAACAGGGGTAGAGGAAGAGGGAGATACAGAGAGGGGGGTCATTTGTATGGCATCTATTTTTCTGAGGAAGAAATAGCACTGCTTGCTTTTTGTAACATTCTACAGCATCTTCATCCATGAACATGGCTTTACCAAACATCTTGATGGGCAGTTAGGGACAACTCCAATGCAGTCACACAGCTACCCCTGTGAAAAGCTATAGAAAGGGATGGCTAGGCAATGCTTAACCCAGACTGCTGGTACTAAAGGAGAGGTTAAACTGCACAGAAGGCTGAGGGCAGGGTCACCTCCAAACCCACAGACATACCTGCTCATCAGAATAGGCTAGTCCCACAGCTGTACAGGCAGACTCTTCACCACCCTTACACTCACTTGGTGCTTCCTAGCTTCTATCTGCTATCTCTGGACAAAATTCCTTCTAATTTTCCACTTTTCATTGCCAACTTAAAATAGTGACTGGTAAGCACTCAAAGAAGAAGTGCTAAGACTTGAGAAAACTGAATTGGTAAAAGTCAAGAAAGTCCTGTGTAGTTATCTTCTGAGTACCCCTAATGCTTTATTTGGACTGCATTCATTTATATGATAAAAAGGTTTGTGGGACTTACTCTGCTGCGGCCTCTAATGGGGGTTCCCCTAGTACCGTACCCTCCGCAGGTTGCAATCCATCCTCTACACAACGTGGACATGGGTAAGGTGACTACACAGAGGATCAGTGTGCAAAGGGGCTCCACTGAGAGCACCTGTGTTGGCCAGCAGGCAGCAGGCAGTCACTAGATGCCTTTGCCAGGAGGCAATTGTGCAGAACCACACCACAGCCTACAGTCTGTTCAACTATGAAAACTTGTCTGTCTTCTGCACCAGAGAAATGTTCCAGAGTTTTCTTTAAAATTAAAAGAGGGGCTAATGTTGGCAGCAAATATTTCTATGGCACTAAAGCCATATCCAAAACTTTCTTAGAACTACAGTAAAAATGTCAGCCTGTCTAGCCATAAAGCTGTCATCTAAATTTTGGAGGTGGATAAGCAGGGGATGGGTGGGGGAATAATGGTCCCTGTGCTTTCCTGGGTTAGCCAGTCCGCAGCAACTGCATTCGACAGGCTGTTCATCTCCAGAGACAATGTCACACATTCAAAGTTCCTTCTCCCTGTGTCAGATCAGGAAATGTGCAAATTCACTTCCGTGTTTCTAAAGGATGGAGGGTGAGACACGGAAGCAGGGGGAGCCGCTTCCTGCACTCTGGGCTATCCTCTGCTTCAGAGAGGAGAGCAGAAAGCCTGAGAGCAGTGAGATGAAAAAGCCACAAACAATCCCACTCATTTTTAGACTACACGCATGGCTAAACAATTTCATAAACCACAGACTTCTAGATGAGAAGAGGTGTGTGTGTGTGGGGGGTTCCCATCTAGGATATCTTGTGAATGTCGATGACATTCACAAGGGTAGGGTTAAAAACCATAAAGGACATGGAGCATAGGGACACCTGTCTTTCCCAGACTCTAAACTCCTCACAAGGCAGGAGAGCGGTGAGGACATGGTGATCCCTGTGTGTCGGTGGCCTCACCTGGGCTTGGCTAGGAGGACTGTGATACCCTCACCTGAGAGAAGGCTGCAAACATCAGGATGAAGGGGCCCAGAACTTACTGCTTCGGCTCCTGGGCCACAGCCTCTGGGTTTTCCTTCTTCGGTGGGCTCTTTTTGCCTTCTTTCTCAACTAGCTTTTTCATAGGGTCTTGTAAGCTCTTCATCATAAGCCATAGGTAGAAAGAGAGAAATAGAAACAAAGAAGGAAAGGAAAAAATGTTAAAGAAAAATCACTCGTAAAAATATCCACTTGCTATCAGTGCCTGTAACCATACATGGGGCTAGAGGTTTGCAGAGGCTGTGCCGCTCACGTGGACACAGGTAAAGTTTCTGTGGTAAGGCAACAATGTTCTCAGACAGACCCAAGAACTGCAGCTTACAAGGGAGGGATGATTTGCCACTGAATTTATGTTTCCCCCTTTGGGATAAGTTATTCAGAAAAGGTCTTTCGGTCACTGTGAACTTCACTTCCCGAGGATAGCATGCAGCTAAGACAAACACTGCTGTGCCTGAAGCTCACACTCTGACATAGCAAAGGCTTCCCTGCCGCCACCCAAGCTGAGACAACTACATCTTATTTTTAATTTTGTTTGCTATTTTGCAATGTAAAAAGCCATCTTAAAAAAATTGTGAGTAACAAACATTTATTTTTTTTTAAGAAAAAAACCAAAATAGCATCTTAACATATTCTGACAGCTTAACGCCCACGGAGGACAGAACAGGTGTCTCCCCAAGTCTTTATAGATTAAAAACAGGCAATAGCCATTTTTTGTTGTTGCTGTTTTGGTTGGCACATCATTTGCTAGAGTTACTGTTTTAAAAGTTTACTAAATATTTAAGGGAAGTTTTTGTTTTAAAGAAGCAAGTCCCTACAAACTGCACACCAATAGCAGAGACCCAGAGAGAGAAAGCAAACATTTCTTCAACAATGAATAATGACAGACACACAACGACTTCTATTTTGGGCCCTAATTAAAACAAAAACCTACCAACACAACAGGAGTATCTCAAGATTTTTATCCTTCTCACATTCTCAGAACTACTAAAGTCCAGGTTCTCATCCTCTGGGCCTCCTTTGTCTTTCTACCCTCACACCCGTGTTCATTTCTCCACTATGACTCGCAGAGGGAGGCAGGCAGGCTTCAGGGCCAATGCAGATTGATTAGCGATGGCTGACTGGAGGCCTGGGTGAAGATGCACTCAGATTGATTAGCGATGGCTGACTGGAGGCCTGGGTGAAGATTCTGCTCTTAGGCTGTGTCCAGGCAAAGCATAGCTGAGGCTGACTTTGGAGTCTGGCCCTGGACACCAGATGGATACTGGTGGTACATCCCCAACTGCCAGGCTTGTTTCACTCCCCACGCTGAGTAATTTTCCTAAAATACTCGTGTGTCATCATACTACCCTTGTTGTCAAGAATTAGAATGGTGAGGCTTCCTTCACTGGCTCCTGCTGCTTCTCCCTATCTGCAAACCATGCACTTTCTATTCAGTTAGAGCCAGCTCCTCGGGGTCTCCAGTGTGTTTATTGTTCCCATCTCATCTTTGTTCTTTCTACTCGTTCACCCTCAGAAATCCATAGTCCTTTCAAAGCCCAAATCAATTACGGCTACTTCCACACAACTTCACTGGGCACTCCAGATTTAAGAACATCCTTTTATGCCAAGTTGCATTTACAGTCTGATTATCGTATGCCTTTTTTTTTTTGATACTGTGTACCTTCTTAACCAACATAATTAGTGTATAAAAGTAGATTAGAGTTGAAAAATATAAAAAAATATTTTACATGTTGTCAACATTTAATATAAAATTAAAATATATGAATATACATGTCATTCCCCAGTATTCTAATGTACTATTAAGGTTTTAAAATCCTTTATATACATTGATTTCTTTTGTATGTGGGGGCATAGGTAATCCTGGGTGCATATGTGTAGGGCAGAGGACAACTGACAGAAGCAGTTCTCTCTTACCACATGGGTTCCAGGGATCAAACTCACCCTGTCATGCTTGGCAGCCAGTGCCTTTACCTGTGAGCCATCCTGCTAACCCCAGGTCTCTTCATAGAGTCTGCATGCCTTGATTTAAGTTCTGAAGCATTTTATTGCAATAAAGCCTGTCTGTGCAGCATTGCCATTATCTTTAATGACTCCCTGCCTCTGGACATTAAATTGGTACATTCATTCAACTAATGGTTTTTGAGTGTCTACCATGTGTAAGATGTTGTTTGGGATATTTTGGATACCAGTGGAGGGAAAACATTGTCAGCAAGTGATGTGCCCAGACAGATCATTTAAACAGGGAGACAGAAAATGATCAGATCATTATTTCAGTGAATGGGATGTCCTCTCTTGGAAATGGCATTTCAGCTGAGAGTTAAATGACAAGAAGAAACCAGTCATGTACAACTTGGTGAGAAGAGAAGCTTGGATACAAAGGCCCAAAGGTATGGCTAGCTTGTCCCAGTGTGAAGAAACCACTGGAGCTGTGATGTAATTGGCAAGAATACAAGTCTTAGCAGACCCTATAAGGTGGCCTCACAGGGAGAACATTCCTTTACTCAGCTCGTCCACAGTGGCCATTTTGCTTCTTTTGTTCCCTTAAACTTTTGTGCTCTGTTTCCCTAATGCATGACAGCTACACACAATACACGGTCATTGGCTGCAGCCTGGACTATGAGGGGAAAATGCTACAAGGGACAGGATTAGAACAAATGGCACAATGGATCTGGACTGTGCTCTAGATGGTTTTGTTTTATAGACCAAAGCATGCAGCAAAAGCAGTGTGAAAGCGTGGGATGTGCTGTCTGTTAGAAACGTGTAACCAGAAGTCAGAGTTCATCAGATGCTAAAGGCAAACTTTTCTTCAATACATTTGCCAATCAATGCAAAACACACACACACACACACACACACACACACACACACACACACACACTCTAAGAGAAGCTTTATTCTCCATAGAATGGTTCAGCTCTGATCAGAGTGAAGGCAGGAGTATTTTCAGCCAACGTTCTGATGGCTCCCAGGACTCACTTTCAGATCCTATGACACTTGTCCGGGCCTCCTGGTTCGCTCAATTATCTTCTCATTGTGTTTCCTTTTTGTCAATCAACATTGGGCAGCCCGTGGACATGTCTGCTTCAGTGGGCTGCGTCTAGCTGCCACAGCCCTTGTCTAAAGCCCCAAGATGCCCTTGACAGTTCCATGGTTATCATCCCTCCTGTCTCCAGCCCACCTCCCCTCCTGACCACACTTGAGCAGCTCTCAGACAATCCCATTGTAATGTAAACCACTCATTGCTTCTTTTCAAGCCCTTCCCCTGTTGGGCCATTAGCAGGGACTCAATTGTTGGCTCTCTGTCACCACAGTCACACTTAAGACACTATTGTGCTTCCCGAACAGAATGGCTGCAGTTCCAATTGCTACTTTAATTTACTATTAATAATTCCGGTGACAATTGCTCTTCTCTTCCCACATTACTATTGTCCTTATGATAATTTAGTTTCTGCAGCTTGGGAAATACTAAATATGTACTTGCAGTTTGAAAATTTTATGTATATAACACCAACTTTAAAAATTATATCTATTTAGCTAAGAAATTTAAAGGTTCAGGGGAATGCTATGAAAAGGTCTATAAAACAACAAGAAAAATTAATAGGATGCACATCAGCTTGTTTATTGCTTTGAGAATTTTGAATGGAGGAAAATATTGTGTTTGCACGCACATCAGCTTATCTGAGATACAATTCGTATGCCACAGAACTCAAACATTTCTAAAGTTGTAAGTCAAAGATTTACAACATATTTCAGAGCACTGTCCACTCAACAGCATGGCCAAATTTAGAACACTGAAATGGGCAAGTCTAAAGGAGGACTTGTAGAGCACACAAAGTGAAATCAAAAAGACAAAAGCAGAACCACACAAAAAAGCTTGTTTCTTAGGAAAGATGGTATATGTCGAGAGAAAAAGACCCTAAAGGAAAGTTTTAGGGTTCATGTCCCAATCCCACCTGAAAATTAGTTTCTGGTGTGACTGTCCAGTGTACAACATTCTGTAGGATGGAGGGAAACTCTCCTGTCTCCACCAGGGACCATGGGGTGTGGGTAAATGGCTGGGAGAGTTAGGGGTTTGGGATGTTGGGAATGAATTTTTCAGATTATTTTGAAGTCCACAATTTAGATTAACAAACAAACAAACAAACAAACAAACAAAAAACCACTTGACCCTTCAGCCTCTGCAGAAGTCCAGAGTGACAGCATTTTCTGAATGACATGAACACATGCTCAGGCAAATTGAACAGAAGAGGTCTGGGGGTGTGTGTGAAGAGGGAGCCATCAGGCAAAACTGTTTCCAACTGCTGGCTGATGGAAGCCACATTTAAATCCATGGCCAGAAGTGAAAACTCCAAAGCATTCTTCTGCTTCTAAACCTCAACCCAACTCAGTCCTTCACTCAGACTGTCGGTGGAGATCACTGCATATTAGCATTGCACAGTGTCATTCCCTTCCCTGGAAGGTTCTCTGTGGATGAAAGGGTGTTTTCAGACCAAGTAACCTTTCCCTGGCCAGGCTACCACAACAGGCTAATAGTTTCCATCAATGCACAAAACGGCTTCAGGAAGCACATGCACAATATATAAGATCAGCGTGACAAAGAAAATGTGCAGACCCAGCTTGCAAACGTGTCTTAAAAAGGAAACAGCTTAATATAATAAAGGGAATTACTACTTCCTGTATTAGGAAAATAAAAGCAACAACAACATTCATCTGAAAGAAAGCAAAACTACTCAACAAAACAAATTCCCGAGACAAAAGGCCGGCAGCCAGTTCTAATAACCCAAATTGAAGCCCAACTTACACATGGGAATAACATTTCCTGTAGTCCTTAATTAGACACTTTATTTTCTTACACTACTTTCCATTAATTATACTGAACACATACGAAGGTGCCAAATAATTGAAAAAAAAAAGGGAAACAAAAGCACTTAAAATAGTTCTGCATGGTCAAAAGATGCTGCATTCAGTTGGGTGTGTGTGTTTGTGTTTATATAATTAGTAACACATGAGGAATAAAAAGCAGAGGACATGGTGTGTACCAGCCATGCAATTCATGGACATTTAGAACATATGTCCTCCTCTCTCCCACCACACACTTCC